GCCGTGAGGCTCCAGGGCCTTTGCTCCACTCTGTAACTGCTTTGCCAGGAGAGGAAATTTCACACACGAGCCAAATTCTCAGTGTAGTCATGTTGAAAAACCAGCTGAGTAATGGTAGTTTCCCAATAGCTACAGCAAAAGCACGACTCTGTTCATGGGAAGGGGATTTGTATTTCCCTGCAACTTCTCCCAGCCCAGGGTGTTCACTCCCAGTCACACTGCCTGGAAGACGACAACTGCCTCCACTGGCCGAAAGTTTCTGGAAATATTTATAACTTGCTGTGACAACTTTAATGCCAAATCAAGCGCAGCTACAGTCCCCTTACCATGTCCCCTAACACAGATTCTTTTTTTTTTTTGAGAAGTTTTTGCTCTAGTGCGCGTGTGCTCACCAGAGAGACAGAGAGACAGAAAGAGAGAAATCACCCCCCAGGGGGGATGGTCACGCCGCAATCCCTTCTCCTCCATTCTCCTTTTGGGACCTTGGGCACGCACGCACACGCGCCTGGCGTGAGTTTAAGCCACCGGGTCCGGGACTCGAACTGCAGTCAACTACATGGGAGTCCAGGGAAATAACCATTTCGCTCACTGCTGGTCCCCCATAACACAGATACTGAACAGAGCTCAGTGAGCTAGCTACTCCTGAGCCAGTCTGCCACAGACAGTATGCCTTTGGGTCTTCACACCAAGAGAGCCAGAAGGGAGAAGCAGGGGAGCATTGCTCAGCATCAGGGAGAAAGAGCTGCCTGCTGAGGCTGCCCCGCTCAGAACGCTTGTGAAGAACAGGTTCTGCAGGGGGAGGACAAGTTCCCATTTGTTCCGTGACTCACAAGAATTTCCTGGCAAGTATCCCCTAAATCCTTTAGCCTATGACTGAAAAGAAACCCTGATTGTTATGCAAAGTGAGAACAGTGGAAGGTTGCAAAATAAGACTCTTTCCAGAAGTTTTATAGGGTTCATTTATTTACTTAGTCTATGAGAGAGAGACAGTGAGAGACAAAGGGAGAGAAAGAAAGGCTCCCAGGCTGGGTCCTCAGGCCACTAGCCATACCCAGACCCCGCCGTCCCTGTCATGCCCAGAGTGGTGGCAGGGAGGCAGACTCAGACCCTTGCATGCCGGTCCAGTTGTATCACCTCCGTTTCACCACCTGGTCCTTATATTTTCTGAATATTTAAAATTATAAAATACTACCTAAGACTTTATACTTTAGAGAAAGTGAGCCAGATATGCTGAGAAAAATGTAGAACAGAAGTCATATTCTGAAATTGACTTTAGAACACAGAATATATTTTCACTAAGCTAGGAAGCATCTTTTATTTTCTATTTACTTTTTATGAGAATATATTACCTATTTACCTTGTGCAAGTATTTTTTTTATCATAGATACAGTATTTGGATAGATAATGTTATCTTACGTTAAATATATAAATATTTATTGGAAATAAAAGCTCACAGTATCTATGAGAAACATTATATCTATATATTCATGAGCCATACAGACTCAAATTTCTGTCTTATTTTGATCAACACGGAGCTCATTCTTTAATTCTGTAAAGGAAATTGCTGCTCTCTTGAAAAAAATCCAATAAAAGGCATCCCAGATGCATGCTTCTTTCTTTTTTAAGTTGCTCATTTGTGTCCTCCATGAGCTAGAGACAGACAGAGAGACAGCACTCCCTAGTGGGTCAGCCCCATTGAGAATCATGTTTTGATGCTAGACCACTGTCTGGCCCCCTCAGTGCATTCTCTACTAGGGCAATGGGCTTCAAGTTAGGAGCCCTGAGTTAGATTTTGTTTAAGACTCTTGTTGTAGTAATCGTAAGGAGGCTTTATCCTAACATTTCAAACTTTATAGTTGTGATGAAATACACCTCTGCTTTATAGAATGAAGAAATGGGCATGGGAAAACATGTAACTAGATACTGGAGATTTCCCACAGGCTGAAATAGGATGCCTGATGAGTTCACGTAACATAACCCTCTGCGCTATCCACACACCCTTGATAAATGCTACCCTTTCTTTCTAGTGAACAGTGACATCTTCCCCGGTAAAGGGGCCTTCCCCATGCCATG